CGCCCAGCCCGTGGAGACAGCGCGGACTTGGCAGCGGCGGCACTCGGCTGGACCTCGGCGCGGGCCTGCGGAGATCCCATCGAGGAAGGCGCGGACGAGGCAGGTGGGTCTGGCAGCGCCCCGCGGGCCAGCGCCCACGACGCACCGTTACGCTCCGAGCCTCACCTGGTTCCTCTGGCCACGGCCTTGGCCAGACGCCCGTCTTCTTGTGTCCCGAGTTCTGGGGTTCAGAACCCTAGTGGCAGCTGCACAGGTCTGGGGTCGGCCCTCTTTGTGAATGCGCCCTTGAGATCACTTCCCGAGTTCTCTGGACCCTTATGGGTTAAAACCAGCCCGAAAGGTGTGCGAAGAGCTGCGTGAGCTGTGTGTGTAAGCCGCACACTGGGCCCAGCGCGGTGCGCTTCGGTGGTGTGGCGTGCTTTTCTGTTTATGAAGTCCTGTGTGCACGTTTAGTTCTTCTGGAAGCAGGAGAGGAGGTGACACACACAGTCAGCAGACAGAAAACCGAGCATGGACAGCACATCTGGGGGCAGCGCTTGCATTTCTGGCCTCACAGGGCTGGTGTGAGCAGAAATGGATTCCACCAACGTGGAAGCACTTCAAGTTGCTTGGAAGGTTTCTTGGCCCAGCAGGCCTCCAGTGGCTGAATGTTGTGCTGAAACCAGACACCAAGGCAGCCTCCAAGGCCTTAATTTGAGGGGACTGGGGAGGCCCTGGGAGGGCACTTCTCCAGGTGCAGAGGCTGGCTAGGGAACATGGGCCTCAGGGTGCAGGTGCAGACAGCCCCAGAACTGGTCAGAGTGTCCTGTGCTTGGGAATCAAGTTTATTTGCCAATTATTGATGTCTGCTTTTCGTCCAGGAACTGGCCGGGCTCTTGCCATGGGGCACTGTCGCCTCTGCCACGGGAAGTTTTCCTCACGGAGTCTCCGCAGCATCTCTGACAGGGCATCTGGGGACAGCTCAGAGAAAACTTCCCCAGGAGAACGTGTCTTCATCAGGGACTTCCAACACCTGCTGGGTGTGGCCGTGCACCAGGACCCATCCTTGTCCCAGTTCATCTGCAAGAGCTGCCATGCCCAGTTCTACCAATGCCACAGTCTCCTCAGGTCCTTCTTGCAGAGGGTCAACGTGTCCCCATCAGGCCAGCGGAAGTCCTGTGCAAAGTAGGCCTTTATTGGGTTTTTCAGGAGATGCTCAGCACCCTGTGTGCTGGGTGTTGCAGTAGGGCCTGGGTGTCCTGTGGTAGAAACCTCAGGGTGGGGAGGACAGACTGTACCCACTCTGCATCAGCAGCCCTGCTACTGCTGGAGATGAGCATGGAGGTGCCGGGGTGGCAAGGTTTGCTTTGGGTCCTGAGGCCTACAGGCAGCCTTAGCAGGGAAGGAGTTAAGGGTCCTGGTAAAAGGGTCTCAGGGGAGACAGCTAGGGAGGCTTGAGATCTCTAGTCCTAACAGACAGGGAGCTCTGTGGGCCTTGGTTCCTTCTCATAGCCACCTTGATCCTTTGCAGGGTCGGTGCTCAGTCTCCCATGGCAGCAGAGGAGGGAGTGTGTCTGGGTGAGTCTGGCCCTCGTGTGGGAGTTTTGCGGGTGGGTTGTGAGCTGGCCAGCCCAGGGCCTGACTTCCTTGTTGACTCTCCTCGTTGACTCTCCTCAGTGGATCTGATCACCTCGACTCCCCGGTGCCTGCATGGCTTAGTGGGGTGGGTGCACGGACATGCAGCCAGCTGTGGGGCCCTGCCCAGCCTTCAGAGAACACTGTCCTCCGAGTACTGCGGCATCATCCAGGCAGTGTGGGGCTGCGATCAGGGCCACGACTACACAATGGATACCGATTCCAGCTGCAGAGCCCTCTTGCTGGACAATGCATTGGCAGTCAAATGGTCATGGGACAAGGAGATGGCACCACGTCTTACTCAAAACCGGCAGTCTGACGCTGTTGGGGCTGTCCCCCAGCTTTCCCAGGGCAGAGGAACCATGGCTGGGGCTGAAACCAAGATTCTTTCCAGTGTGGATGCAGCCCCATCTTCAGAAGGCAGCACTGTGGGGCCCAGGCCAGGCCCACCACCTCAGCCAAGCCTTCCCCCAAGTGAGGGCCCAGGTAGGAGGCACCTTTGGTCTGTGCCACACCAGAATCTCATGTCTGTGAGTGGGGCAGGGTCTTGAACAGAAAAAGACTTGTCTCCACCATGCTGGGGATCAGCTGCAGTGCTTCCTTAGCCTGCAGGTGTTCAAAGTACCTGAGGCAGGGTGGGGTTGGCCACTGATTGTCTCTTGTCCTGCTGATGAGCAGGTCCTTGCTCTTCTAATGTCATGCTGTGGCAGGAGGAGACTGAGGAGAGAATGGGGCCCTTATCTGTTGGATGTGGGGATGAGAAGGAGGGTGCTGCTTTGGGCCAGCTGTAGGTCATGGCCTGGGCATTGGCCAGCTGGCTGGTGACACTGGTATGGGCAAGGGTGGAAGCTTGTCTGACTGGCTGAGGAAGGGAGACAAGGGTGGACCCTTCCTGCATATTGTGGAGTGGCCGCACCTGCTCATGGACATGGTGTTAGAGGCCCGGGCCTGGCTTCCTTCCTCCTCTGGCCTTCCGTGTGCTTCTACCCTGTCTTTGTCTTTGAAGATGCTCATCTGCCTGCACATGTGCAGCTCCCCAGAGTTTCAGCTGAGGTGAACAGATGAGAGGTTCCTAGCTGAGATTTCCCGGCTCCAGGGAGGACCTTGGGATGAAATCCTACAGATTACTGATTTAGCTTTGTTAACTGTGTGCATGAGATCTTTTGATAATAGTCACCTTAAAAATGTTTCAAAATGTTTATATCAGCCCCTCCATAATGGTGGGTCAGGGTTTTTGTTTTGTTTTGTTCTTTTGGCATTGAGAATCAAACACAGGAGCTGACGCTTGTCAGGCAGGCGCTATTCTACTGAACTACATCCCTGGCCCTTGAGGGGTTGGGTTTGCTGATGATGTTTGTCCCAGGGTTCCTGCTGTGTGGTGCTGTGCGGTGCCACCAAGGTGGTGGTACAGTGGGTTGGAATCTGTCCAGGAGCTTGTGTGGGGGTCGGGCCAGGATGGTATGGAGTTTGAGGCCAAGGACTGACCCCAGGCTCCCCTGTAAGGCAGGCTGTGTCATCAGACCAGGCCTGCCTTGGTTTTTGGTAACAGGACTCTGTTTTTGTTTCCCAGGGCAATTGGGTGAGAAGCAGGTTCCATCTTCAACTTCGGATGATCGGGTAAAAGACGAGTTCAGTGACCTTTCTGAGGGGTGAGAGAAGAGTGGGTTTAAATAGCCTAATATTTTTTCTTCAAAAACCAGACTCAGCCACCCTCAGGGCCGCTGGCCTCAAAGGTTGGGAGGAGGGGCAACTCCTTGTGCTGCCTGGGGCTTCCTGGGTCCTCAGGTGCTTCCCTGGTGCGGCTGCAAGGGAGTGCAGCCCAGCCCAGCCCAGGCAAGCCCCAGGCGTGGGTCCTCTGTTGCCATCTACATGTCTCCTTGAAGGCCTTGTTTTGTGCCAACTGCAGATATCTTGAGGATGAGGACACAGAGCTCTAGCTACTGGTGGTGGTGATATGGGACTGAAGCAGACCTTACTCCAGAGGGAAGGGCAGCATCAGTGTCTGCTGGCTGTGGAACAAGAGCCATCAGGGCTGGCCCCTGCTGCCTTGCAGCTGCACACTTACTAGTGCGGGGAGCCCAGGGTGACTGCCGGCAGCCTCCGGCCTTCCCCTGTCCAGGCGGGTGGTGGCCTGTTGGGGACACTGTGGGCTTGGAAGCCTAGCTCTGCTTGGCTTGATGGTTGATGGGGAGCCTGCCAGCCTCATAGGTGCTTTGATCTGGCCCTGTTCCTGTTCATGTTCAGGCAGTGATGTCAAAGTCCACCCTCTGGGAAGCCCGCTTTCTGAGTCTCCACGGAAAGCTCTCTATTTGGACCCTGGATAGAGGCAACCGTGCCTTGGGGTAGAGGGCTACCAGCTTCTTCAGCTGTAGTGACTGCCGTGCGCTTTTGTTAGGAAGTGGGATTGGAGTTTGGAGGAATTTGAGTTTGTAACACTTTGAGGTGAAGTGAGACGGCTGTGGGAGCTGTGTGGTGCCTCAAGACAAGAGTTCTGCTTGGGTTTGTTGCCCAGTCCAGGCCAACGAGCTCTGCTGAAAGTTCTTTCATCTTTCCTAGAGACTTCCTGAGTGAAGATGAAAATGATAAGAAGAAAAATGCACAGTCTTCGGACGAGTCCTTTGAGCCTTACCCAGAGAAGAAGTAAGGGTGCTGCTTGGTCTGCCACAGGCGCATGGGGTCTGGTGAGATGTCCAAGGGGAGCCTGAGGGTTGGTACTAGGAGCTGAGTATGAGTGGCAGACCTCTGCACCCAGCTCTGCCCGCCTAGCTCACTTCCTGTTGCTCTGCCGAACCATGTGGCCAGGTGAGAGTCCATGGGAGGAGGGGTCCCATAGAGCCCTCTTGATGGCTTCTGCGACCCAGCAAGCAGCCCTGTTGACAGGACCTGGCCTCCAGTCGGATGCAGGGTCCTGGCAGAGTTCATCTGTGTCCGTGTCCTCTTAGCCCTGTGCCAGGAGGGCCCACAATACTTGACAGCTGGGTGATGACTGACTTGGTCATCAATGCCCCTGAGCATTTCTCAGTCCAGGGAGCAAGTGTGTCTTGGTACCACTCTCAGCTATGCAAACCTGATGATAGAGGTAGCGTGGCTTCCTTT